GCGCATCCGGACGATGAATGCATGTTCTTTGGCCCAACTGTTGTTCATTTGACGAGAGAGGCCGGCGTGGTTGTGCATGCTGTTTCTGTCTCAAATGGTTTGCTGGAACTTGTGTGTTGGTGATCCCAAGCTAATCTGTTCAATCCATGCAGGAAACTTTGATGGTCTCGGAGCAGTGCGACAGAAGGAGTTTGTGGAGAGTTGTAAAGCACTGGGGATTCAGCCTGAGAACGTTGTTGTACTGGATGATGAGTGAGTTTTGGATTGGAGCAAGTTACGACAAGAGTCTTAACTGTGTTTTCTCTTTCAGGAAGATGCAAGATGGTATGAAAGTATGGTGGAAGGAAGAAGATGTAGCTCGCGTCGTTCAGCCGCTTGTTGAAAGGCTAAGATTGAAACAGTGAGTCTCACCTTACCGTGCCGATGGAAAATGGATCTCATATTTCGCATTAAGATCATAACGTTCGATAAGTATGGTATCTCTGGACACCCGAACCACCGCGCTCTCTACACTGGTGTCAAACACGTCGTCGCTCAACATCAAAAGATCAAAGCTTTCGCTCTCATTTCCGTTCCACTCCTACGCAAATTCATTTCTATTTTTGACCTGTTCCCCACATTCCTCATCCACTTTCGACACACTCTGAAGAACCGAAAGAAATTACTTGAAACGCAAAACGCGGCAGAAGTGCGATCGATTCTCATGAGTAAACTGAGAAAGGAGCGTGTGTTGTTTTTGGGAACACCAGGAGATGTATGGGGAGCTAGGAAGGCAATGGCGTGTCACAAGTCACAGATGGTTTGGTTCAGGCATTTGTACCTAGTCTTTTCGCGGTATATGGTCATTAATGAGTTGGAGGAAATTTGATATGGAAGATGGCTGTGTGTGCAATAAGATTTATTATGACTTGACAAGGAATTCAATCCGTCTGCAACGCTTTTACGGAAATCTTCGGATATTGGCTTCTCGTGCGCCAGATATCCTTCAAAGAATCGTTCTGACAGCCATTTTGATTTGATGACGGCAAGTTCACGATCCTGTTCGAAGCAAGAACGTTAGAGAGGGAATCCACATGAAAACGGATTAGAATCAAATACCTCATATTCCACACGAAGCTCGCCCTTTGCAGTCTTGGTAAAGAACATTCGTGCATTCTTTGGAATGTTACCCGATGGAAACTTCGCCTCCAGCTCTTTCACCGCATCCTCGGCAGCTCTTTGGTCAGCCTCATTAGCGAATGCACCGTCTTTGATATCTTTTGCGACTCTTCCGTTGAGGAAACGAGTGAATCCCTGACGCAAGTGAGGACCTGTAGTTGCACGGACAGGTTCGATAGAGAGAGTCAGTTCAGCATTTGGACGGCGAACAAAGTCTTTCATGTAGAAGGAGTCTTCATCGCCATTGAGGAGTTTTGCGGGAGAGTAGTTCTGTCTCCAGTGCTGCGACTTCTTGATGGCATTCTAAGCGAAAGAGTGGATAAGACAGAGCAATCAATATCAAGCCTCTTCACGAACCAGAGATGCGGCGTCGGCGTAAAGAGCGGCGACGTAGACGTTGAATCGCAGGAGAGTCACGTGTCGCACGCCAAAGCCGACGAGTTCCTTTCCGCCAATCTGGTTTGGCACCGGTGTCTGAGTCGCCGCTTCGATTGAAAAAGCGGAAGTCGCGGTCGCAGTCGAAGTTGGGTTTGCGTCAAAGTTCGCCGTTCGAGTTCCAAAAACCGAAACCGAAACAACGCCGCCGACGAGTCCAAGCCCAGAAAGGAGTTGCGGAAACACGCGCCGAATGCGTTGCGAGCCAATCAGATTGAGCCGTGGAAGGAAGTGTGCCATTTGCTTCTTTCACTTGTTGGTAAATCTTCAAAAGTGACAAATCATTCAGACTCACTCTCTGTCTCACTCTCTTTCTCAAATTAAAATGGACTTGGGCCTCGTTGGTGTACCCTTGCGTGGAGAACCGCAAAAGAGACCCTTGCGCAGGGCTCCAGATTATGAAAACAACTGGAACAAGAATCAACCAATCCAACCCCCTCCTCGTCTGTTCAACTACAAACCTGCTTCTTATGCTACAAAGAAACCTAGTCGCAATCGTTCCTTTTCCTCAGCAAGCTACAGTCAGTCTTCGTCACATTCTCGTACCCCTTCCCAGTCTATCAGAACTTTCAGAAGTTCAGATGACCCCTCCAGTTCTCAGAGCAACTCAAACGCGCCTATACGAAAAGCGAAACAGGAGCCGACAGAGTGTACAATTGAAGAATCTTGTCACCATGCTCTGTCAAGTCTTGAAGATCTTGGGGTTCGCACTCTTTCTCATCTGCTAGACGACTACCACTCCTCAATCCGAACGGACCAGCAACGGAAGTCTCTCGCAGCCCGTGCCGAATATCTCAAACAAAAATTATACGGTCACATTTCTCCAATTGAGCGCGCTTTGGCTCCTCATACCTTTGGTTGGCAAGAAACTCCATGGACTCTTGACATGAACTCAGCCTCCGAGTCTCTTCATGCACATGAAATAGAACATGGCCATCGTCATACGCCCTATGTTTGGATAGGAGAAACAAGGAATCCAGACAACGTTCTCGAGAGTGCTGAAGAGGCTGCCATGTGGGAGACTCTTAGACATGCAGAAGCACGCGCTTTCCCTTTAGAGAATGATGAAGTTGTTCGGAACGTATTTGCGGGATTGGAGCAAGCCATGACTGCTGAGGATGTGGATTCATTGGAACGGCAGTGGCAAGAGCGGCCTCATTATGAAAATAGGGTATGTATTGCTATATTATTGTTTGTTGATTGATGCTGGTTTCCTACTCATTCATGCAACTAATCGAACATTCCTCACAGCCACCTCGAGAGGATTCTCCAGAACCCGAAATCTTCAAAAAGTTTAATGTTAATGGCAAGAAAAAGGTAGGATTCTCCGGGAGTAAGGAGCACGAAAACGACTCGAGGAGTGATGATGGATCCTCCAACTCAGGTAAAGCCCTCCTTCAAAAACAGAACGAATTACTAATTGTTTTCAGGTGACACGGAAACCTTGTTTTCTCCGTCTCAAGATCCAACACCGTACGGAACTCCATACCACACTCGTTCTCGTTCAATCGATCCAGACAACTACGTCGCACCTCTTCCAAAAGAGAAATCTATATCTCAAAAGAGACTCGAAGCAGATTTGGCCGCCAAGAAAGCGAAAGAAGAGATGGAACTAAGTTGCAAGTTTAAAGCAACTCCAGGTTTGTATCTCATTTGTCCATCTATGGTACTCAAACTTGCCATAGTCCCGGCTTCATCACTACTTCCGAGATTTGACGAAATAATGAGAAAGATGGGAAACAAAAGTACAAAGACACGAAACGAACGCGCCAATGACCTCATGTCCAAAATCAAGCCTTTCAGTTTCAGTAGTACGGGTTGCGATGCGGATCATTCCTCTCAATCAACTTTGATGCATTGCAAATGCAAAGTAGATATCGTCTTTATAAATGCAAAAGTCATTAAGCCTCGTAACAGTCACAATCAAACAAATTCATCCAAGATATGCTTGAAGAAATCGAACAAGAAAAGAAGGACGCAATTCGCAAAAAGTCAGCGTATTTACTCACTTCGAAGAACAGTCTTGCTGCTCATGCCGCTGAGGATGGGCGTAAAAAGAGACAACAGTTGCTAGGTAAGCCTTGTGATATACAAAAGCACATCAACCTGAACTACTTCACAAAGAGAGACAAAAAACGGGAGGAATCACTCCATACCATTCCTTCAAACCAAAAATCAATCATAACATTCCAGACTTCAAAACTCTTCAAAGTGAGTTTGAACGCGAGCTCGAGTCGAAGAAAGGCACCAAGCCGAAAGTTGTGTACGTCTTATTTTGGCAGCCTTTTGCAAAAAGCTTACTTGTGAATATCAGACCACAGCCGTTTCAAGGACTTGAAGAACATGAACAACAGGCTGAACAAAAGAAACGCAATCGAGAGAGGCAGGAAGCTCGACAACTTGAAAAAGGGTTGAGAAAGGCTGAGTTTAAGGCGACGCATAACCCAGCACTTGGAGATGAGGTAAAAGCAACCTATTCGTGACCTAGAGATGTTAACACAAGCCTAATCGACAGCCTCCGCCACTAACATGCAAAGAAACAAAAACATCAGTCTTGAAAGTGATGGCAGCACAAAAGAAGATTGAAGAACTCGCAAAAAAGGAGGAACAAGCTGAGACGCCTGTCCACTTACCAAAAGAAAGAGAAAAGGTATTCAAAAAACAAGGCACTCTTATATTCCTCGCCCAACTCATACTTCATAAACAAGGAAATGATTACGAAACTTCAAACGCGTTTCGAAATCGCAAACTCGGCGAAACGGCAACGCGCTGAGGCCCTTCGCGCGAAACTTGCTAAGGAAGAGCGACAACGCGTTCGTGAGTATAAACTCAAGTTGAGAGAAATTGAAGAGAAACTAGAGGATCGGTTGTGTTTGTTTGAGTTGGTTAGTATTGACGGAGCAAAGAGGAAGGCGAGGAGGGAGGTGGAGGAGATTTTGAAGGCTGTTAAAGTGTGAACGTATAATAAAGAGCGACACTGTTTCGTGGTATCTTTTTTTTTCAAACTCAGCAGAATCACAGGATTAAGTCATTTCCTTGCTTTGTTTGAAGAGGAATCAATTTTTCAAATCAGAGGCATCTTGGTTGATGCGAGAGGAAACTTGCAAAATCAACTAGTTTTTAAGGCATCTTGGTAAGTCAGAAACGTACAAGTTGCAACAGAGTTGGTACATCTCAAGATTTCCCTCAGCTTCATTTTATCTATAGCTAGCGCTAGGATTTCCTCTCTGTGGACTAGATTTTAACGGAAGGTAACAGAGTCGAAACACAACTCGTAATCACAGCTTTCTAAAGACGTATTAGTCTTCCCTGTTCTTGTATCCATCCACCAAATGCAAGAAGTTAATGGGTTCTCTAGATGGAGAGTTGTACGAGTCATCATGTTACAACTACCTTTCTCGAGCATCGGGTGCTTAGCGCAGTGGTAGCGCATCAGTCTTCGAATCTGAGGGTCGCAGGTTCGACCCCTGCAGTGCTCGTGTTTTAGCAATTGTGGGAGTAGACGTATGGATGGTTGGTTCCTCAGTCAAATATTGGCGGAAGGAACCTTGACAAGCTATCTCCTTCCTTCTTTAACTGTAGATTTTGCGTCCAACCATTTATTGCATTAAGATTTAAGAATCATCCAGATTTGTTCTTGTCGGAAACCAATGAAACGCATGTGGCAGTCTCACACACATCCTCCTCCGTAGTAAGGTTGTCCACAGCGTGCGATATTCATCCACTGAACTGTTTGTATTGCCCTGCTTTTTTGCTGCTAGAACGTATATTACGTAGAACCAATTGATGATATGTTTCAATAGTGAAATGAGTAAGGGGAACTTTCCCTTATGAAGGAGACCATGGTGACATCGCTAAACAGAGTCCATGTAAGTTCCCATACGTGACTGGGTGACACCCTTAATTGCGTTTCTTTCCACGTATCTGTAGTATAGGTTGAGTCCACTGTCTCAAAATGCAAGCTGTATTCCAAATTAGTAAGAATTGTTAAGAACGCATTTGTGGCTATACAAGATTGCGCGCACTTGACAGCTATGCAGGAAAGTAGATAGTGATTACCTCCTCATACGCTGCAATTTTTGCCTCTTGCTTCTGCTTCTGTATTTGTCATTTAGAAGTTTTAGAGACCATACCTTCAAAATAAACGCACCATACGTTTGAGCTTGACGATTTGGCCCCCCTTGCACTTTTGATTTTGATACTTATTTGAAGTCAGTTTCACAAAAAACATTTTGTTTTCAATTACTCAGTATCCAGGGGTGCAACGTTTCGTTTCTGTGAGTCAACTTCTACTTTATTAAATTAAACAAACCACGCATCTGTGGTAATATTTTTTTGCCATTTATCCGCTCTTCACATCCATTCTCAAAACTCATTGCTTTCTCCTATTCTCAATAATTTCTAGATTTTTCGGTCAATTGCAACCAGCTCCACTACAGTCTCGTTGCTTTCCTTATCCTTCTATCTCTGTCCTGACTGTTAAAACATTCCAAGTTTCCCTCACGTATCCAAACACTACAATCGTCCTTGATCCATTTAACCACGCTTACTGTTGTTATTTAAACTAACTTTCAAGATGTTTCACAATCTCTCCACACATTCCCTCTCGTCGCGATGCCTTCAACGAAACATACACACTCTAACATTCCAACACGAGTCCAACATTCATTTATATAAATTGTGATGTACTTGAACAAGAATCGGGCCTCCAATAACTTCACTGCTAACGTAAGTTCCATTTCGCGTTGTACCACGTTCGTTGTATTTGAGATACCTTTGTCACCAGTGTCCATCTCAGATAACATAATTTTTCCATGATGCAAATGTTCCAGATTAAATGGCATCTTGTTATATTTCTGTATGTAATGATGGCCTTGCATTTATGATTCACACTTTGAACCCACTTGGTCTTGTAACATTTTCTACTCATTTGTGTCCACCAATCCGAATCGATTTTCCCACTTATAGATAGTTTGCAGGACGTACGAGGAAGCTCATTCTCATGTTTCAAAAGGTGCATTGTGCCGTCATTCTTGTTCTGTGTTTACCCCTTTGAAAGTCAATTATTCTGTCGCCCTAATCACCATGCAAATACGCCAGGTTTTACATGAACTCGGTTGTTTCTCAATTTGATAATATTGGTACTGAAGATAGGATGGGTGGGTTTTATCGAAGCTGAACGTCCACAATGGTCAAAATCAATGAGATATTGTAGATCTGAGCTGAGTTCTGTATTTTTAACTGCTGTGTGGCGTCTTAGTTTGGAGTTCGATGAGCTGCATGAAAAAGTAAATAAGCAATAACAGTGTCTTGTTTATAGAGTGAGATAATTCAAGATGAACTATCGCCAATTTCGTCTTTGAAACATTTTTAATTGACTTCTGTAAATATAAGACTGAGTGGTCTCATGAAAAATCTGCCTTTCTGTGGCAATCAATATAGTAGTTATGGAGGCCATATCTTGTCCGTGCTGTTGACGAATGTCGTACTATATTCCTGTGTATAGTTGCTTTCCCTTGATTTCTTTTTCCTTCTAAATTCCTAGACGAATTTTAATTTACTTCTGACTAGAATAGATTCCCAAGAACAGGAGAGTGATCTATTTTTTTCGAGTTGTGATACGTGTCAAAAATTACTCGAATTCTTTGTTCTGACTCTTCTTATAACCATGAAATTGGTGTCATTACTAGATGTTTGATGGTTACAGTCGATTTCTTGTGGTTTCCGTTCGCTTCACAAATCCGAATTAGCTTATTCAATTGTAGTTATTCCATCAGTTCCAGCATATTTGCATATGTCACAGGTGGCTTGAGTAATTTCTTGCTGCAAGTTACGGTTCACAGAAGAGATAATCCAAAACGAAAGTTCTTCATACTCCATGGTCAATTTTCTGAGACATGCAAGTATGGCCGATTTATGGCACAAGAGGAAGCGATGCACTTCTTAAATAGAATTCTTCGGTCAAACTCTGTATATCAATTTTAGTGGGGCGTTGCTTTGTCGGTGGCTACATTCATTGGATTCCTTTTGACCGAAAGAAAACTAGGGACGTAACTCTGCATATCGATTGGTTAGTGAATATGTTGTTTAATCAGTAAAGTTCACCTTTTCTCCTTTCAATAACCGATTTTAATGCAAAGTGTGGTAGGTCGTGGCCAAGAGACTCACGCCTGTAAATTGTTTGTTTCTTTGATCCCTCGTACCTATTATAGTAAAATGTGAGTGAAATCCAGACTAATATTGAAGCTTACACAACTTAAAGTAAAAAACAAGTGACAGTGATTGTATGTGTGGGTGTTTTTGAAGCCAAGATGTGAATTACTAAGAAAGTGTAATCAGCCAAATTAACCGCTTAACTCAGAAACTTACAAAGAAATATTATTTTTTTGGTTTTTTGTTATATATGGCTCTCCAACTCCTTTATGAGCGGCTGCGGCGCCGGGGTCCCAAGTCCACAGTTGGGTTGTCAAATACACTCGCTTCCTGAAGAAACTCAGCCTGGGCCTCAATTTGTGCCACAGTCTCTGGTTCTTCGGGTTCCGCAGCTACAGACTCAGTGACAGCCTCTTGAGTTTGCTCACGAAGAGCATTTGCCACAGCCAAGTCGGCCTCCGCAACCCCTTCCAAAAACTCCGAGTGCCCCTCATAGTCAACCTCGAATTCGAGGAAGTCAAAGTCGGGTCGAGCTTCAATACCTGCCAATTCCGTTTCAATCTCGGTCATCTTCTCCGCAGTAAGGTGTCCCATTTTGTGCCAGTTCTGGTACATTTCCAGATGCTGGTCTTTAGACAAAGGCGACCCTCCAAACAATGACAGTTCAAGCTGATCGAGCTGAAACTCTTCTTGCTGCCACTGTTCGGATTCAGCTTCGAAGAGCCCGTGAAAGCGCCGGTTGACAGAAACCATGTACATCCCCATTCTAGTGAGTGCTACATCTTTGATGGCATGTCTGTCAGAATAATGCTCCGTTGTGTGGGTGGAGCCTACTGCCTCGAAAGTGTTGCTGACATGCAAAATAAGCCACAACGCGTTAAAACTTTATGCAACTCACAATTTTACCCTTTGTCCTCCTACTTTTGAACCACCAGACTTGAAAGAACTCTTCTTCTCGATGGCGATGGAGTGACAGGGAACCACACCGTGGAGGTAGTAGTCGGGTACTTTGACAGACTAGACTATGGTCAACTACAGCCTAAATTATCAAATAGTACACACCAAAATGGCTGCTTTCAACAATTTCATCTCAGTTGCGTGGACCTGTAACAAAGACATTTAGATGTTTTGTTAATGGTTTTGTCAAAACAATACCTTTTGGCGCTCGAAATAGTAGGCGAGAGTGTCCTCTCTGTAACAAGCAAACTCAGTTTTCAACAACTGGGTTTCAAACTTTGCATCTCTTTTCTCCGCCTTGGAAACATCCAATTTGGACTGTGATGTCGCAAGCTCAGCTTCCACTCTCGCCAAACGAGCCTGCAACTATTTACAAGTATCAGTTACAATGAAAAAGAAGTATTATGGGAGAGATGAATATTACCTGCTCATACTGTGCAATTTTTGCCTCTTGCTCCTGTGTTTTACAAAGGAGTTTTAGCAAATGTTGACACTGTCGAAGGCACAAACATACCTGAAGTTGGAGCTTGAGGACTTTGTTTTCCATACGCATCTGATCTTCGGTCGCAAGCAAATCGTGGAACTATGAGTACAACGAAGGTGATTAGAACAATAGCCAGTGAAGCCGATCTCAATGGATCAAAAACAACTATAGACGCAAACCTTTGTGGTCATTTCTCTCTGAAAGTAGTCCGGCGTGAAGCCAATCTTGACGTTTTGGGAAGTAGCAGCAACACCATGCTTGCGATTAAAGCTTGCGCGGACCTTGGCGACGAGGACAGAAGGCATCTTTTTTGGATATTTCTGAAGGGAAAGATCTGCGGAAAGCTGTCCAAATAGTGGCGAATTGTCAGCAGTGAATTTGGCCTGTAAATTGTTTGTTTCTTTGATCCCTCGTGCCTATCACGGTAAATTGTGAGTGAAATCCAGACTAATCTTGAAACTTACACAACTAAAAGAATAAAACAGGTGACAGTGATTGTATGTGTTGGTGTTATTGAAGTCAAAGTGTGAATTACTAAGAAAGTGTTATCAGTCAAAGTTAACCGCTTGCACTTAGAAACTTACAAAGAAATATTATTTTTTTTGGTTTTTTGTTATATATGGCTCTCAAACTCCTTTATGAGCGGCTGCGGCGCCGGGATCCCAAGTCCACAGTTGGGTTGTCAAATACACTCGCTTCCTGAACCAACTCAGCCTGGGCCTCAATTTGTGCTACAGTCTCTGGTTCTTCAAGCTCCACAGCTACAGACTCAGTGACAGCCACTTGAGTTTGCTCACGAAGAGCATTTGCCACAGCCAAGTCGGCCTCCGCAACCCCTTCCAAAAACTCCGAATGCCCCTCGTAGTCAACCTCGAATTCGAGGAA